CCCCAAAACCCCAAAACCCCAAAACCCCAAAACCCCAATAATTTTCAACTTTATTGAAATAATTGAATTTATAGGTACTCCACAGGAACTGGTTTGTCATGAGGAAGGATCTCAACAGTCCCACTCTCAAACCAGAGATCTAGAGAGGGAGTGTATCCAGACTCGACATCTCTAAAGGCTACTCCAAGAAGGTAGCCATTCTTGTAGAAGGAAATACTCTTATTCTTAGCATCATATTGGATTCCAATGATAGTTTCGTACTCTTCACAAGGGCAGCCGAACCCATTAGCCTATAAAGTTTAAGATTAAAAATTACTGTTTGGATCCCATTCTCGTTCATCTTGATCAGTTTGGTATTCCAGATATCCCAGTAATAGCTGTAAGGAGAGTCCTTCCAAAATGTAGAGGTAAGATACTCAGACTTGTACTTCTCCTTTTTAACACAACCCACAAAGAGGTGACTCTTCGTCCTTGATGGAATATCAATATTTACTTTAAACTCAACATAATTGTTGGCCTGGTCTAAGGCATTTTTGCAGAAGACAATTCCATGGTTATTTCCTTCTTTAATGACCCTCTTGTTGCTCTCATCTAGAGATAGGGTTCTGGCTCACCATTCAGGATCAAACTCTTGTTCACAATAGATATCTGACCCGTGTAAGGTTTCAAGAGGAATCTGCCAGAATTCCATCTCTTCTAGAAATTTAGCCTCTTCAATTTTAGAATTGAATACAGGGATTTTTCCGGTCCTGAGATAGGTGATAACAGACACAAATGGGCCACCATCTCTGTCAATAAAGATACGGCCATGATGCTTCTTCAGCTTATGCTTTCCACTAAACATACATCCAAGAGCTGAGCTGGGAAATTTGGTAAGAGTTGCTCTTGCTGTAGCTATCTTTTGTGTCCCTCCTATGTCAAGCTCGATGATCTCAGAAGGGATCTTCATTTCTTCTTCCTCTACATTTCCAGTGCCAAGGGTAAGATTTTCCTTGAGGACTTCTTCTTTAGCCTTCTTGAGTTTACCATCCTCTTCTGACTTATAGTACATGAACTTATTGTATTCATCTTGGAGCTTGATTTTCTCTCTTTTGACCTTCTCAGTTTCGGTGGTGAAGAGATTGATCAGAGTATCCTTGAGTACATCTAGTTTAAGTCAGATTTGGAGGTATTTATCTTACCCATTTGGCACACAAATTTATTCAAATTATATCAAGATCTTATTCTAGTCTTTGTGAGGTTCCCTTGGAAAGACTCAAGTGCTATTCTGTCTCTTGAGGTCATACCTAGACAAAATAAAGCTTATTCGAAGTGACACAACGTACGGTGATTGTCTTCACCTTCTGCAAATATATGGCTGAGTTCATTACTGTGTACATTCTCTGGGCAGCTATTTTCCAGATTCCTATCAAGCCCAGTCCTTTGTTCTTGATTCATATCTAAACAATAGATTACTGGGCTTACTTGTGTTATGATTTTCATCCTCCATGGGTTCGTTATCTGCTTCTTCGAAAGACCTGTAGTTCATGCTGACAAATTTATTTTATAATATTTAGATGATCTTTTGGGGTTTTGGGGTTTTGGGGTTTTGGGGTTTTGGGG